CAGCTGAGGTGCGAAACCTGTACTTGGTTCCTACGTGGTTTATCACTTCCGAATCTAACCTTGAAGGAGAGAAGCTATCACTTCAAGTGAATTATTTTCGTCTTAGTTAAATCAGCTAACAAGAATGCATCTTTAGTTTGAGCGTATACTTTTGGTGGGGGGGTAATGTCACGATAATTACAGTTAATTAACGTAACCGTATATAGATAAATATAATTCTCCTATATACAGAAGTATAAGCATTAGCGAATGAGAGGTGTGACTGCTGAATGAAAGATTAGGTGGTAGTTCTGCTTGTTCAGGTATGCAAATATTCCCGCTGCTATTGGTTGTAGCAGGTGTCTTAGGCCTAACATGCCGTAAGGTAAAGAGATCGCTGTTCACCACCGGTTAAAAAGGACGTGCTCTCGACTCTTATTTTACCGCTAATTCCTTGGAAAGACATCAATTTAAAGTTATGAACTAAATATAATTCACACATCTGATAAGTTATAAAAGAACATCGAAGTGCTAAAACAGATAAACTAAAATAAAGAAAACCGTGCAGTGCGAAAATACGTGAGTGCGGACAGTGAAATGACTATTGGTGAAGTGACTATTTGAAGTGACTGTGTTAGTAATGCTGTGCTATAATCTAGGGTTAGGATTAACCTGTAATGCGGAAGGTGAGTGAGTGGGGTGAATGTGTAGGGCATCATCCATTAAACAATGTATCGTGTGCTAAGTGAATAAATAAATAATAAGTGAAGTTATTCCGTGCATTTATGTTCCCATTTATTTATATCCGTGGCTCGCAGTTTCCTTTCTCAATAAACGAGGAAAAAACTAGAAGAAAGTGATATTACAGACCTTAAAATAATAAATTAATAAGTAAGTAGTATTGCAATCACACTTATCATATGGAAAGTAAATCATATAATTCATAATTCATGAAACGAACGTAATTGCTCATGAAATAAAATATCTCGAGCTAAAGAGTTAAGAATATATTCCTTATTAATGGAATACACATTAAATAACATTCCTCGAGTAAGTGATGAATATATATAACTTCCATAACTAAATACTCAAAATATAAATAATTTATTGAGTAAAGTGTGACATATATATATATTCATATTATATATATATATATATATATATATATATATATATTCATATATATATATATATATATATATATATATATATATGAATATATACATATATATATATATATATATATATATATATATACATATATATATGAATATATATATATATATATATATATATATATATATATATATATATATAATATTCATATATATATATATATATATATATATATATATATATGAATATATATATATATATATATATATATATATATATTCATATATATATATATATATATATATATATATATATATATTCATATATATATATATATATATATATATATATATATTCATATTATATATATATATATATATATATATATATATATATTCATATATATATATATATATATATATATATATATATATATATATATATTCATATATATATGTATATATATATATATATATATATATATATGTATATATATATTATCAATCTTGTTGCTATCTTTTCATTATTACTATTATCACTATTGCTATCATTATCGTACCTTTATTCCTGTCTCTTTATTATGTATTTGTGTTTTATATAATTTATTTATTTTATTTGATTAATTAATTTATTATAAATTGGGAATTTATTCATATTTTTATCCTCTATCCTTCATCTTTCTCTTTCGCTGTCTCTCTTCCTCTCTGCCTCTCTCTCTCTCTCTTTCCCTTTCTCTTTATACCTTTAATTCCCCCCTTACCCACTCTCTCTTGCTCTCTCTTTCTGTCTCTCTGTTTCTTACTCTCCCCCTCTCTCTGTCTGTATCTTTATTTCTATCTTCTCTCCTCTCTCTTTCTCTCTTGCTCTCTCTCCCTCCTCTTTCGCTGTCTCTCTTTTATCACCATTATTATCATTTTCATCTCTCCCTTCTTCCTTTTCCTATTCATTTATTTATTTGTGTTATTAATTTATTTATGTCTTATTTACCGGAAAGACTTTATCTCCTGTCTTCATGCCTCTCTTCCTCTATCTTGCTGTCATCTGTCTAGTTTGTCTGTCTCTCTCTTTCTCTCTCTACGCCCCCTTTTCTATTTCTCTTCCCCCTTCTCTGTCTGTCACTTTCTCTCTCTCTCTCTCTCTCTCACCCTCTCTCTTTCTTTCCCTCTGTCTCCCTCACACCCTTTCTCTCTCTCCCTCACACCCTCTCTCTCTCTCTCTCCCTCATACCCTCTCTCTCTCTCTCTCTCTCTATCTCTGTCATTTCCTCTCTCTTTCTCTCTCTAATGTTTTCATTTATGCAATTTACAGAGAATGTAAAAGAGTAATAGTCTAACTAGTGCGTTTTTGTGGAAATAAAATATTTTTTCATAATGAAAACTATGAGCATTGTCCTTTGCATATTCGTACAAAAGAATTGATGCAAATACATGTTGTTGTTTTTTTGTTGTTGTTTTTTTTTCTTAATAAATACAAATTGACAATTCTATCATTTCCAATTTATAATTAATTACTTTTCTTTTCTTATCTCTCTCTTTCCTATTTCTTTCTTTCTCTTTCTCTCTTTCCCTTTCTCCTCTTTCTTTCCCACTCCTCCTTTTTTTTCTTTCTTTTTTTTATTTATCTCCTTCTTCCCTATTTTTCTCTCTCTCTTCCTCCCTCCAACTCCCGTCCACATCCTCTATGACTCTCTTTCTGTCTCTCTTCAACCCTCTCAACCCCTCTTCTCCCTCTCATATTCTTTTTCCTTCCTTTCCTTCTCTCTCTTTCTTATCCTCTCCCTCTCTCTCTCTGCCTATTTCCCTCCTCCTTGTCTCTATTTCTCTTCAATGTCTTTCTCTATTTCCCTTCCCTCTCTCCCTCTCTCCCCATTCCCCTTCCCTCCCTCCCTTTGCCTATTTCAATTTCCTCCATCTCTCGCTCTCCCTCCCTTTTTCCCTACTTCCCTCCCCCCCCTCTCTTTCATTCTATTTCCTGAACCTCCCTTCCTTTCTCTCTTTTTAGCTATTTCCCTTTCCTCCCTACCACCCTCCTTCTCTCTGCCTATGTCCCCTTGCCTCCCTCCCTCTCTCTGCCTACTTCTCTTTCCTCCCTCTCTCTTTGCTCGTTTCCCTTCCCTCCCTCTCTCCCTGTCAGTTTCCGTCCCCTCCGTCTCTCTCTCTTCCCTTCCCTCCCTCTTTCTCTCTTCCCCCTGACTCATTCCCTTCTTTCCCTCTCTCTCTCTCTCTCTGCCCATTTCCCTTCCTCCCTTTCTTCCTCTGCCTATCTTCCTTCCCTTCCCCTCTCTCCCTCTCTCTGTCTCTTCCTTCCCTCCCTCTCTCCCTGTCCATTACCCTTTTTTCCTCTTCTTAATGATTGCGGAATTAAAGATCGTTCATTTTCATGCAAGTGGATGATTTACATCTCAAGCGGAAAAGAATCTTAGTTATCTGGAAAGGTACTGCATATTAAGGATAAATCCGATATGTGAGCCTGAGCTTCCCCCGGGTTATGTCTATGAAGGGAACCAGGCCTGTGCCGAGTCGATCAATGAATCAGCTGGTGCTGACTCGACTGAGCTAAGTCCTTACCCACCGTTGTGCCCAGCCACAGCGGTAACCCCCAGGCGACAGTTCAAACTTCTCGTGGGCGGGGTGCGAACCGCCTAATTGCCTATATATACATATAAATACATAAATATTTTATGTGTATATATACATATACATTTATCTATATGCAAATTCATATATATATATATATATATATATATATATATATATATATATATATATATATATATTTGTGTGCGTGTGTGTGTGTGAGTTTGTGTACATACATACATATGTGTAAATATATATGTATATATACCTATATATATATATGCTTACATATATGTATATATATATATATAGATAGATAGAAAGAGAGATAGATAAGTATTTATATATATACTTATCTATCTCTCTCTATATATATAAATAGGGAGATCATTATCATTATTGTCATTGTTTTTGTTTTTTTTATTTTCATTATCTTTATCATTGTCCAGTTATTATCATTATTATTATCTTTATTGTTACTAATATCATTATTAAAATCAATGATATCATTATCATTTCTATGATCTTATTGAAATAGTTGTTCCTTTCTAACAAAATAAAAATAATGATTATGATAATAACAATAATTATTAAAAACTTTATCATCATTTTCTTACTATTATAATTTTAATCATGATAGTAATTATTATTGTTCTTATTGTCATTATCAATTTATGCTCATGTTCATTAATAATGATAATAATCATAATATTGCCAATAATAATGATAATACTAAGATAATAATTATAGTATTATCATTATTCATATAATTATTGTCATTGTCAATCTTTTTTAGTTGTAGTATTTTAGATATTTCTGTCACTGTTATTATCATTAGTACTGTTAATATTATTTCCTTGATTATTATTTTACTATTATTGTTTTAGTTATTATGATAAAAGTGTTCATAATTATCATTATCATTGGAATTTTCTTTTGTATTACTGCTGTACTTTTTACTATCATCATTTCTATTATCATTATCATTATTATTAATATAATTACAATTACCATTATTATTGTGTATCATTATCTTAACGAAATTATGGTATCATTATTTATATTACTATTATCATTATTACGTATTATTATATTATATTATTGAAATTATGTTATCATTATTTTATTATTACTATTAACACTGTTATTCATTACTATGCGTATTATTAATATTATCATTATCATTATATTTTTATTGATATTTATTATTAACATCGTGCATCATTACATTACTACTTGTTTTGTGTGTATCATTATCAGTTTATTAGATTTGCAACTAAATTTCCTAAGAGTGGGTCTGCTGTGACAAATGAATGAAAAGAGAACATC